GAGGGAGGGAGGGAGGGAGAAAAGAAAGGGAAAATAAGGTGGTTACAACAGGAGGAAGGGATGGTAAACAAAGCAACCCAAACTGTATATTATAACCTATTAAATGAAATAATATATAAAAATTATAAATGTAAAGAAGAATAACAATTATGTGAATGTATACTTAAAATGGTATGTAAGAGAATAAAAAATAAAAAAAATTCTTAAAAAAAAGATATAAAAAAAGATATTTAACTCTGTTTCCTCTCTTCATAGAGGCTTATTTCCAGACATCACAACAATATAGGAGATCTCAAAATCAGAACCAAAAATAATGTTTGGTATCCATGAGTGAACTATCAAATAGGTAAATCCATTGCTCTGTCAAAAAAAACCGTATGCAAAAATAAAGACGGCCCACTAATAGTGTTTTGGCTATTCCAAAATTGAAAGGTGGTGAGTGGACTATTGAAACAAGAGCTAGGCTTTCTTTTGTTTGTATTATGAAGCAATTCTAACTTACTGGTTTTTATGTAATTTTTTTAAAAATAAACTGATATACAACTTTGTTCTTTGTCCTAACTTTACATTAAGCTTAAATATAAATAAATCAAATATATCTCACCTTGTGCTGCCCTAGGCAGAAATAAGTCCTCCTGAGACGTAGTTTGGTTACCAAGCAGCTTCCCTGCCTTCACAGCATGTTTTGATAATTCTTTGAAAGGTGCTGCCTTAACAGTTTGGAAACCACCTGAATTCAGTGCAGAGCTAATTAACTGAGACTGTGAAGAAGAAATTTAAGGGTTCAAAAGAGAAATGTCAGTCCCAATTATGGTTGCTAAGCAAAGACAACCAGTACAGACTTCTGTAACAATGGCTCAATTTTGACTGCCTTATCTTAATTGATGACAAACTGGTATGTCATCTGAGCCTGGACTATTGGGTAGCATATGATTAAACAGGAAAGCAGTGTAGGGTATAGAAGGGACCATAAAGCAGAACCTAATACCTAGTGTAGTGTAATACTACACTAATACCTCAAGTGTTCCAACTTTATTTTCATCCCTAAAGAAAATCCTACCTACCTCCACACATTCTCTCTCTTGCAAGGAAGGATCCTTTTCTCTTTTTTTGTTGTATATAAGTAAACAGAAATTGGCTGTACAAAGCTGAATGCTCTCCTTTCTAACCCTACATTTTTTTTCATAAAAGAATTGGGTGATCATTGCCTTTACAAAACAATGTTCATTTTAGTCCTTCTTTAAAGTTGGAATAATCAATATTTCTTAGTTGTTGATCAGTGGTGATCACAAGAACATAGAAAACAACACCCCCAAAACAAAAAAATGCATTGTTGAAATGTTTTGTGATGCTTCAGATAATAGTTTTAATGACCATGAACTATGCCTATACAATACACAACTGTGTCAACTGAAAGATAATTAATTCATGAATAAATGAAAAGCGTAAGTGTTTTTTTATCAGGGCAACCTGGTCTACCCAAATATGGGACCGAGCATACTGCTTCCATGTTTGCTTTCATTCCTTTGTCAGTAAATATAAATTCAACACAAATTGAAAGGCATAGGTGTTTAGCCACAGATCGTGGCACGACAAAACCGCGCTCATCAAAATAACGGTGATTAAACCGCGTCGCTAAAGCTGCAACGTCATCACCGCGCGTCATCATCGCCGCGACAACAGCGCGGCAACAGAAGGGCATTCTACATGCTTTGTTCTTTGCCTCTGTACCTCCAAAGGTAGCCCTCCTCCTCCAGCTGCTCCTGCTGCTCCAACAGGGGCGCCCTGCGTGGGGCTCAGCAATCCGGGGGGCGCAATGCCCGTCTTGGGAGTGCCCACCAAGCCCCCCGCCAAGGCGGCCGGGCTGACAGCGGCAGCGGGCACGGGGCAAAGCGG